GTTAGTGTAAGAGCATAATTGTGGAGGTAACGTGTGAATAGTCCGTCAAATTACATTAGTTTTTACAAGGAAGGATTACATTGCTTATAACATATTATCTAAAAGGTAAAGAAACTTATGTTGGAAATACTCGTACTAAAGGGCTTGTTATGGTAAATTGATTTTCACTTATCTGGTCGTGACTTACCTGTCATTTACACCCATTAAGTTGAAATTGAATTCCATGAAAAATTTAATGAATAGATGTTACTCAAAACAGTGTGATTGGTTTTGTTCAGAACTGGAAATTACACATTTAAACGATTCTTTCATAATGAATGGCCATTGAACTTGACTCTATCAGAGATTAAAAGAATTTAAATGAAAAAAAAGAAAAAGAAAATGCATCACAACACTGAACTACATGACCCGTGATACTGATTATTTAAAGTCTCTTGTTGACGACCAAATAGTTTTATAATAACAAAATACCTTGAAAAATCATTAAAAGACAATTATCCTCAGGTAGATTTTAGGTTTATAGGCACTAATCCTCTTACCACGGGATCATTTTTGGTTTTAAATTTTAAGACTCCATCTCAACACACACACACTACACCACGTTAGTTGATGAACACACTCAGATTAATGGGTTCTCCAGCTCGTAATTTCTAACTTAATGATTATCTGGGTCAGTCATGTGGTACAGTACAACATCCTAACCACTTAACAAACTCATGACTCAGGTGGGAACTCATGATTCAGGTGGGAATTCATGACTCATAACAGAACTTACTCCTAGCATGAGACGTGATATTAAGGCCGCACGAGCATCATATATTTTATAAAGTATGAAATAGAATTAAGATTTTTGAAACTATTATTTTATTAAAGAGCAAAAAAAAACCACATAATTAAATAGTATACAAAGCCGCAAACCTTTTAAAGACGATGAGGTGACGTGGTATTCCTGTTTATTTCTTTACCTTTTAATGTTAAATTTTATAACCAATGTCATCCTCCTTTGTTAATAATGATGGAATGTGATTGGTTACTTATATGACAGCTTTTTATTTTCCGTCACTTATTCGATGACTGTTCCTTGAGGGTAAAGACTTTAATTATATCTTTTATTTATGTTTTCGTCTGTCGATTTAATTTGAGACTCTTCAGAACGTCTCCAGCTCTCTATTGTGTCATTAACTTGGACGATTTACTGTTACAATGTCATAATTGGTCAGCGTTTTTGTAAATCTTTTAAGCCACTTAGACAAAACAACTATAATATATTCCTTTTATTATTTCTTGTATTCATTTGTATTATCATTAACTTAGGACTCACTGTGTTCTTTGATGGTAAATAATTAAAATGCAATTGGAATTATTCACTATAAGTTTTGTAATATTCAAACATATATGAAAACTCATTACGTTTATTTTTCTTGCAATTGAAGATATCTGATGGTGGAGAATGATATGAAAAACGTAAAGGAAACAAGACTTAAGAACCTTTCGTTGTATAGCTTTATGTTGTCGCCGTGGTCTGGACAGCACAACAGCACAGGATGACGGATAACTCGCTATTTGCCGAGTTGATTGAGTAAATGATATAAAGTAACTCGGCAATAGTGTCACTCGGCTTGGGGATCGAACCAGGGGTGAGGTATAGGCAAAAAAAATGTAAATGAACAGATATACAAGAAATGCCTTTGTGATGTACGATTTATGTACATGTATTTATTTTTAGTTAAGTTAGTATTCAAAAAACACTCGTTATCCATTTACAACTTGTGTGGTGTGTAGCGATGCGAGGTGACTAACCCTTTCCCCCCACCACACACACACACACACACACACACACACACACACACAGACACGCAAACCTGAAACCTTTTTAAGAATATGTTAAATAAACCTCATCTACATTGTACCTGGCTCACGGGCTCTACGCTGCCATCCATTATTAACATGTTTACTACACAAGAAAATCCCGTAAGTGTGATGAGCTCAGGACACGAAATAGGGACCTGATGGAGCAAAAAGAATGTACACTATGTCATGTGGTCGTGGCATCATAAGAACACCAAGTGGAGTAAATTTAATACATTCTAAATAAATAAATAAATATATGAAACTCGATCAAATTCAACACTAAAACAAAAATAGAAAATCAATAGCAATGATAAAAGTTACCAATTCAGATATACGGGAAAATAATAGTGTTTTTTGTTATGTAGTAAGAGCAATATAATACTTCAACTCTTAAGAGATTAATGGGTTTGTATTAGTGATTCGTATTTGTCCCCCAAAAAACAAATTCATGTATTTGTTTTAATTTTTTATGGCAGCCATTTTGAATTCTAATTTTCCAGTTGGGTTGGGAATATAGCAATCTTTGTGTGTGTGTGTGTGTGTGTGTGTGTGTCTGTTTATGTATTCCCGTGAATGTGTGTCTGTCCGCTTGTGGTGAAAACATTTTACAAGCAAATTTGTCATCGTCAGTTGTCAGAAAATATCACAAAATTGGTCCAAACAAACGTTACATTATACAACTACACTTCAGCGGCGCCAAACACCTTCTCATGGTCGACTTGTAAACCGTAACTTATAGTCATATTGTGGGAAGAGAAATCCCATAATGACTTTCTTATGGGCTTGATAAATAAATCAACAGATCATTATTATTATTAAGCTTGAGGTAATTATGTAGTTACGGATCATGTGAAGCTTATCCTTCATTTGGGGTTAATCTGATCAGTGATTGGGATTAAATTCAGCTTAGGATTGGAGGAGGTGTTTTAGGCTTTGTGACTATTAGGTGTGAGGAATATTTGTTTGTTCAGCAGTGATAACGGAGCTTAATTCAACCTATCTTAATTTAATCTAACTCAACTTAACCTAATTCAACTCAACCTAACTTAATTCAACTCAACCTAACTTAATTCAACTCAACCTAACTTAATCTAGCTCACCCCAACTCAACCTAACTTAACCCAACTTAAACATAACTTAATCCAACTCAGCCTAACTTTATCCAACTCAACCTAACTTAATCTAACTCATCCTAACTTAATCCAACTCAAACTAACTTAATCTAGTCTAACATAACATAACCAAACTAAATTTAATCCATCCTAACCTAAGCTAACTTAACCAAACCAAACCTAACCTAACCTAACCTAACCTAACATAACCCCACGTAACAGGACTATTGAGAACTAGCGAAGCCCCTTGAGCTGAAAGTAAGATTCTGTCCATTTTGAAAGTAGGATTTTAACCAAGAAGATATTTGCCGGAGGGATTATATTTCATAGGATATAGTCTAATGGGAAATTGTCCGATGAGATTTTGTCCACTGGGGATAAAATTCAGTGAGATTTTCGTCCTGTGAGAATGTGTACGTAGCTGACATGAGCATATATGTTGTTATACTGAGTTTTTACAGATGTTTGACCAGCGGCTCCTTCCTCACGTCCACACTTGTATAGATTACCGTAAGTTTAATGATCTGTCTTAACTTTACGGTAATAACGGTTGATAGGCTCCAAAGTGACCATTAGGACGGCGGCTACTGAGGTTGGGATTCAGTACAATTGAATTCCATTGAAGTTGGAACCCATTATAATTGGGATTTATTAGAATTGTGCCTCAATCCTACTAGGACCCATTTCGGATTAAGATTCAGTAGAATTAGGACACATTGAGATTGGAAAACATTATATTTAGGACCCATTAGGATTGAGATCCATTAGCATTGAGACCCAGTGGAATTGGAACCCATTGTAATTGGGACCCATTGAGATTGGATTGCATTAGGACTGGGTGCATATTGGACCGATTAAAAATAATGCTGCTAGAGCTTTCGTAAACTTTAAAACGATATTTTAAATGCGCATTGTCTGGGTTCATCAATATCGCTGACGTATCGCCCGTCACCCTGGACCGCGATGTGAGGTCGGGTCTGGTAAAGGTTAAGTCCTGTGATACAGCGATCGTTGAGCCACACGTTAGTAGTATCAGGTTTCATCTGCGTGTTACCTAACTGTATGATGACAAGGTGGGGCTCTTACCTGAGTACCTGAGCTTGCGCGAGAAAATAAAACACAGAGAACGGATAATCTTCAATCTAACCCCTATTCAACGTCAGCCAATCTATAAGAGAAGACTGGCCAAGCAATGGGTAGTCTAAGAGATAAGTACTTAATTTACAATCCGTGTGAAATAAAACGAGATAGAATACTCGTGAGGTTGTCTATGACCCTCGCGTCGTAGGATAAAAAAAATCTATATTCCCACTCCAGGTCGAACAGTTTCACAGCTGGTAAAATGAGCTCACTTAAAACTTTGTCCATAAAGATAGTATTTGAGGACGAAGGAACATGCATTCAGGAGACAGGCGAGGGTGAGGTCGCTGCTGCATCACGATTTAGGGAATGGAGAAGAAAGTGGGAAGTGAAGAATGTAAATGCAAGTAGGAGATAGAAGTAGAGAAAGACGAAGAATACAATAGAGATATGTGATTCAGGGAGATATGAAAGATAACGGATCAACAAGAGAGAAGTGAGATGACCGGGGCAGCTGACCTCACCGTAAATACTGATTACAATAAGATACTGAGGAAGAAGAAAAAGATCCCCCCTGTATGGTCATTGTTTATATAAAATACCCAAACCCAAAACTCTGAGCCGCTAACTCGTGTCTGTAAAGGTCACTAGAGTAAACAAGAGTTAACAAATATTGGATTGTTGCGAAAACTGTTTCCAAGCGAGCAGGTGGTGGGTACAGACCATGCAAAAACTTCTTGTGAGTGATTCTGTCTGCTGCTTCACGTAGTTTAATAAAGTGATTAATGCATATAGATTTTCCATTCATTATAAGTCATAGGCAGATGTTGTGTATGTTATCCTGAGCTGATTTTATTTCCTTTGTATCTTTTAATTGAAGTGTGTGTGTTTTTATGTTCGCTGTTAAGTAAATGTGGAATCCTGGAGTGTACATTTTTTAATGACATTATTACGTACCAAACTATCTCCTGCAGAATAGACATTTGTTTTGATAAATGATCCAAGACGTTGTTAAAACTCTTCATCGCGTACACATATTTCTTCAGTGGTAAAGTTAGTTCCCATCAGTCACCCCGCGAGTATCAATCACCATCCAAGTTATTTTCATCAACCAATGGAGGGAAAAAAATATTCACTCTCGGCCACTTGATGTTACTTATCAATAACTCCTGTCAATAACAATCCATATCAACTTTTAAAGGACAAATATCTATAATCACGTAGAAATTTTCACCTCAAACAAGAGAGAAGTCAGTTCAGGTTCTCTTGCAAAACACCATTAAAATCTTGCTGACGTAAGAGAGTGCACAATTAAGGCGATAAACATTAGTGGAACAGAGTAATCGACAGACTCGGTGTGAGGGAGAGAGAGCGCGTAGTGGTCCTCTCTCTACAAGAGTCGGTACAGCACTGACGACCTCACCACTGCACCAGCCACACTGCCCCCTCAATACCATTTTCTGAGACCTGGATTGTGGAAACACCATCCTCCTTTGGCGTGAGATTACGACATAGCATCCATTGTCTAATTATACAAATGACATCATCTTTCAGAGCTGTGAGGTTAGATCACAGTCTCTCTCTGTTGTTTGTGTTGTGGGACTTCTTCCTATTGTGGTGTGAGGTTACGACACGCCATCCTTTGTTTAATTACCTCATTGATATAATCTTTCTGGGACTGTGAACTTAAAACACCTTTCCTACGTGACCTTAGACTGTGGGACATTATTCTTTGGTGTGAGTTAACATTATAATATTTTTATTTTTATTTTACGCAAATTTGAGTTGTTGTATATAAAAAAGTAATCATGTAGATAATCATAAACGAGTTATAAATCTCTTCATTACTAACCTAACCTAACCTAACATAACATAACCCTAAATTTAAAGTTTGATTAATACATGCACTCGTTTCCATGTCACTATAACAACAATAACAAAAGACAATCCCTATTTCGCAAGTGAGTCCATTTTAAGGTTTACTCAGAAGACAATCTCAGAGACGCAGGACAACAAACAACATCATTCAAGCACTCTTAGCTGACGACACTGGCTCTCTGTGGTGGGGAGGATGTAAACAACTTCCTCCTTTTACTCTGAGATAAAACGACAACACTCCAGGTCTAACTACATAAGTGACACCATTTTTCCAGAGCTGAGATCCCAAACCTCCGTTGAGGCTTTTTTTTTTATCATAAAGTTACGTTAACAATATCTTTCCGTTTATGTGTTAGTAGTTTCAATTTATTTCAGTTTGTAAATAATTCACCAGAGTCATATATGAAATTTTTTTTTAATATTTTTTCCTTATTAATAACGTGAAGTTAGTGTTGTTGTTATTCTTATTATTGTTGTCGTTTTGTTGTTATTGTTATGTTGTTGATGTTGTTGTTATTATTATTATTGTTGGTTTGTTGTTGTTGTTGTTGTCGGTTAGCTTCTCTGATTTTCAACCAATATTAGTTAATAAGGCCAAAATTCCCCCCTCCCCCCCCTCTCTCTCTCTCTCTCTCTCTCTCTCTCTCTCTCTCTCTCTCTTTCTCTTTCTTTCTTCTTTTTTCTTTTAAATTATCTCTCAAGTCCCCGCCCTGTACCCCTCCTCCCCCTCCCCGTTCATCTTTCTTCATTCTTCTCTGGATCTTTTCTTCGTGTTCCTTACTTCCAAATTTTTCTTCATGATGTGACACAGTTACAGACGTGACTTTCTCCTCAGGTACAAATTTTATCTATTTATTTTACACCCCGCATCATCTTTATTTGACCGTGAGCTTGTGGTATATATAGCATTGTCTTGTCTGTCATAACACCCAAATTGTATCTCAGTTCTTTCTTTACCTCAAGACGCTACAAGGACTCACTGTCTCCTTAGTACAACAGGAAACAATCATGAGGTATTTTTTTTATATTTTTTGGGGGAGGCGATAAAGAAAAACAAATAAAATTACCTGATACGATTTGGTCTGTGACATATTGTATGTTGGGATTTTGCTAAATGTTTTATGTATTGTGGATGGATTTTGTCTAATGGGAGTTAAGCCTGATGGTAATTTGTATAAAGGTGAAATTGTGAATTGGGATTTTCTTTATACCATTGCACTGACGGTGGCGGGATTATATTTAGCTAGGAATTGCCTAGCTGTATTTTGCTGGCTGGGAGTTCATTCGTTCAGCTGAGAATATATACAGCCAGTTCATTATCTCGGATCGGTAATCCTGCTGACGGCAGCTGGAGTCTATCCGCTCTTAATGACGTCACGAGATACAACTTTTTTATATCACCCTTTACAACTGTTAACAGAAATTAACAGTTATTTTCCTCCCTGTTAATGTGTTATAGATTGTTGTGGTTGCGTGAAATATAACAGTTAATGGATTGTAACAACACTGAAACGCCGTTCATATAATTTGACTAAAATATAGGTTATATGTACAGTATATATACTCTTATATGAATAAATAATAATGAGAAATAAATGAAAAATAAATGAGAAATAAATTGAACACATAAGACATCACTTAGGAATATTTTACGATATTATGTCATACTTCCTTGTACACAGAGAAGGCAAATCCAAAACCTCATTAAAATTCCTCCCCTGATATTGACCATCTTTCATCCTTATCAGTCCTGTGTAACGAGGCCAAATTTCCGCAACTTTTGAACAGAATTTGATGAGTTAAAAATCGTCGTATTTTAAAGGAAGATCATTCATCCTACCCAACACCTATGATACGCTACTGTTAATAAGGATAGTACTCGTATTAGTCATCCTACAAGCAGCTACGATACACTACTCTGTTATTAAGATCGGTACTGTACTTGTATTCCCTGAAGCGGATGGGAGGCGAATCACCAGCTGACTTGATTTAATAAAATGTGATCAATGCCAACACAAGGATTAATTTCTCCGCTGCAGTAAGGTGACTTCTTGTTATGATACGAGGGAGACAGAGACAGGGACAGAGAGAATGTGGTTTATTGGTTGAGAGATAAAGGGAGAGGGAGAATGCCAATATTGGGAGACGGAAAAGCGACAAAGAGACAGCATGTGACAGAGAACAGAAACAAATAATGGTAACACTAAAAGAAATAGGGAAAATATGAAACAGAGAGAGAGAGAGAGAGAGATAATTAGATATATTGAGAAAAACAAAGGCATATTAGGCAGTAACTAAGCACTCGGGATTTAACTTAATAGCATATACGAGAATTAGCCTCCAGGGAAATACCTCTTCCACCTCTGTTATTCACACCAAGTCGTAGAAATTAACCACGGTGATGTTATAATGTATTCCTGCGCATTAACAGTTAAGATCTTTAGGCTTATCTTAGTTAATCATCTCACAGTTATATTATCCAGGGTTATTACTCTTAAATACCTGAGCTCTAAAGTAAGTGTCGTAATGATTAAACTCATTAAAATCAACATTGGTTTTGAATTAAATTATTTAGGAGAGAAATGTGGCTTAAATATTTTTTTTATGTTTTTTTTTTTACTCGTTCTTTTGCTCTCTCTCTTCTACCAATCTCTTTATTTGATATTACTAATTCCATATTTTTAGATTAAGTGAATATTCAACCGGGTATAAACGTTTGTAAACAGAGAAGTGTGCCAGCTTTATGATATGTTTCAGTTTGTGTTGTATAAGAAGCACTAAATAACGTAAGCTTCATTGGTTTGTTTATTGCAGTACTGATTCTGATTTTCTGGTTATCACAGTACCGTGACCTGACTTTTGATATCACAACAATAGATCTTGTGTCTGATATCATAACACTGCACTTGGCCTGTGATATCACATCACTGTACATGAATATTGATATCACAGCCGTGGGTGTAGGTGGTGACACGGGAGCAGAGGGGCAGACACAATCCGTGGGCGCGTGGCAGAGTGCTTGCTGGAGCCTGCTCGCTCATCCAATATAATCGATGACCCGCAGTACTCGCTGTAAAGGCATTCGACCGTGTTACTGTACATGTGTTTGAGTGTTTGATTGTTAGTGTGTGTGCGCGCGTGTATGTGTGTGTATAAAGAGAATGTCTGTGCAATGTTAGTAGGTCTAAGCTTACATACAGGTGGTTATTTAAAAAATAAATTGTACTCAAATGAGCTTAGGATGATGTGTTGTTGGTAGGACATACAGTCATACGGTCTACGAGGGCTCTGGGAGAGATTTCTGACTGGATCCCTTTAGAAACATGACAGAGTGGATGACATTTGGAGGAGTAGAGTTCAGTGGGCAAGCATTAATCATGACGAAAGACTGTGGACAGGTGTGTGTGTGACTGATTTTCACCTAATAGTAGATTCACACACACACTTTCCCACTATTCAATTCCTTCTACTTCTTTGTAATCACTGATCTAAAACAACACCACCAATTGTTTTCGATTCGGTCATTAAAGTTTTAGTACCAAGAGATAAAACAGTAAACAGTGGTAGATGAAACAGTAGCACCTGAGATACGTAAGACAGGTGATACAACCCTCAGAGAACAGTAAACAACAACACATTTTAATACAAACAGAATAAGTTTAATCCTTTTAGGTCACACGTTCTTTCTAGTAACAAAAACAAGCTTGCATTTTACCCTTGTTACCCTAAGACCTACCTTGGTATACTTTTATGTCCAGGACGAGTTAAATAATGTCAACAACTCGACTTTTTTCAGTATATATATATTTTTTGTAGTTACTGCAGATGAACCTCAGTGTTTTGTTGTCTAGATATTATTTAAAAGGGTATATGATTTGTGTGTGTGTGTGTGTGTGTGTGCGTGTGTGTGTGTGTGTGTGTGTGTGTGTGTAATGATAATAATAATTACCGGTTTATTGAAAAAGTTCTGCAGCCCGAAGGCTGAAAATATACATTGGACATTAATGACTTATTACATACATTGGTGATTTAACAAAAGCCTTCATTAGAGAAAGGTAAAGGAACATACAGTGAACATACAGATTAATGTTTACAGTGGAGGTCACGTACATCATGTACGCTGAGGTGTTGAACAGTACTGTAGTAACTCCCTCACAGATGGTGTAATGAGGGGCATCACGTGGTGTAGTAATTCTCTCACAGTTGGTGTTATGAGGAACTTCACATGATGCTGTAGCAACTCATTCACTACGTGGTGTCGTAGCATCATGGGGACACCACGTGGTGTGTGTGTGTGTGTGTGTGTGTGTGTGTGTGTGTGTGTGTGTGTGTGTGTGTGTGTGTGTTTAAGTATTTAATCCTTTTTTCCAACTATTGATTTGTTTTTCTTTCTTCGTGTCTTTCTGTCTTTTCTCTGTCTATTTCCCCAGCTACACCACTAAAGGAACAAATACAATAACAATAGTATCCACATTACTTATTTTACTACTACTACTACTACTACTACTACTACTACTACTACTACTACTACTACTACTACTA